AAAGGCGGGATTTCAAAGGCTAGAAAAGCAACGGGCCGAAGACAACCGCAGATATGAAGAAGATCAACGTAGGTTTTATGGACCTATGTACTCTTACATGGCTCATCAAGGCCAATTCCATACCATGGATCAACCACCCCCACCACCCTCTTGGTATGACCCCACTCAATGGGGCAACTTTGGAGGATCGAGCTCCGGGGGTGGCGGTTTTGATGGTGGGGACGGCGGGGATACTCACATGGGAGACGGGAGCTTTGGAGGAGGCTTCGGAAGCGGCTTTGGAGGCAGTTACTACGGTGAAGAAGGCGGGCACTAGGGACAGTGCTTATACTAAGTGTGGGGGAGGAGACTCATCATGGTATGTAATCTTTATTTTCACACTTTACTATGCATGAATTTCTTTTACTCTTTGTAAACAAAAAAAAAAGAATAAATAAAAGAATTGAAATGCTAGTTAGGTTGAAAACCCAAGAATGGGCAATCTAAGCAAAAATGGCTTATAAAAAAAATGAGTGAGTTAGTAAGGATGGAAAAACAAAAAGAGATGCTAGGATGAAAACCTGAAAAGGCTCCTAGGCAAAATGAGAGATATGAGAGAAATTTTTTTGTGCAGGAACTCATTTGATCTTTTGGGAGAAAAAGAGAAGAAGAGGAAGAAGAGACAAGAAGATGGAGCATAGAAGATCATAAAACCCAAGAGAAAATGTTGTTTGTAAAATCATTTTTATTCCTTGGTGATCTTTGTTCCTTTCTTTCTTGAACTCATGGAATGATCTTAAACTGTTTGAAACATTTGACTTTACTCGAGGACGAGTAAAGAATTAAGTGTGGGGGAGTTGATACGTTTGTAATTTCCGTATGTTTATTTACGTTTTTAGTTAGTTTTGATTGTTTAATATTTCGGAAATTACACACTTTCGGTGTAATAGTTTAGTTTGTTAAATTCTTGTGATTTGTTTAGATTAGGTTTATTCTGAGCTTAAACAGGTCCAAGATCAATCAAATGATCAATAATGAAGGAAGGTGCAAGAGTACAAGACAAAAAGAAGGAAAAATCCTGATTTTGGTCTATACTCGGTCGAGTATATACATATACTCGATCGGGTATCTGGTTGACATTTCAAATCAGATCAGATCCGAAAACAAAGGAACATGCAGGAGAAGATTTTCCCACGTTCGAGTGTCTATACCCGATCGGGTATACTTATATACTCGATCGGGTATACATATAAAATCTACTCGAGTATTGATCGAGTATTGACCAAATTCTGATTTCTATACATACTCGATCGAGTATGTATACATACTCGATCGAGTACTCGATCCTGCACCTCAAAAAGCCTATAAATACACCTCCTTTCCTTCACTTTTAGATTACCAATTCCTTTGTACTCTTAAGCTCAGTTTAGAATAGCATTTCTCTATATTTCTTTTAGCATGTTTAGTCTCCAAATGAGGAGCTAAACTTCCATTTCTTGGTATTGCTCTTGAAGCTTGTTGATTATTAAAGTTGTGAGTTATTTTCTTAACTTCTTTCCTTGAATATTAATTCTTTCTTCAAATGCTATTTCTATATCAATGTTGGGGAGTGTTGCTAAGATGACAATTAGTTAACATCTTGACATTAGTTATAGTAATAGTCATTTCTTCCTCTATGTTAATATTGGGGAGTGTTACTAAGATGACAATTAGTTAACATCTTAATATTAATTATAGTAGGATTCATCTTCTTTAATATTCTTCCTTGAGTATCAATTAATTCCTATTCATATTTCATATTAATATTTTGAACATTACTTAAAGGATCAACTAGTTTTGTTTCATATATTAATTACTACTAGAAACAATCAACGAACCAATGGTTAATCGTTGATAGTTTCACAAGTAAGTAACTTCGGTCTATTAATGCACGGTCGTGGTTAATAGACTTAAGAGGGATTAATTGTGTTGGTTAAACCGAAACCGCTTGTGTTGAGGTTATCGATCTCAATTGATTTCATCAAGGAGTTAAGCGATTAAATGCTACTATCAAGTCAGTATACGGCGCTTGTTCTATACTTGGCTAATAGTAAGGGTTATTAATGAACGGTCGTTGTTAATAACTATCCTCGATGAATTGGATATGCTCCTCGATTGAGTATTCGAGAGGAGATAAGTTATAGATATAACAATGATCGACTAAAATATATCAACAAGTGGAAAGTAGCAATGCCAAGTCTCTTTTATCTTTAAATTAAACCACATAACTCGTTCATCTTCGTGTTCAATTTTAATTAAATCACTCAATCAAAATCCCCCTTTTTCTACTAGTTACATAAAAAGAAGAGTTATTCCTTTCCCTGTGGATACGAACTCTACTTCACCTATACTACGTATAAGTGCTAGTGTTGAATTTATTTTGAGTGCACTCACGACAAAGTGCACGTCATTCCTCATCGAGTCTATTTTATCCACAAAATATTTCAGCTAAAAATTCGATCGGGAAGGCAATCATATAATTTTTTGAAGATAATTGCGCCAAATTAAACATATAAAACGCAATTATGTTTCAAAAATTATTTGACTGCCTTCCCGATCGAATTTTTAGCTGAAATTTTTTGTGGATAAACTAGACTTGATGAGGAATATTCCAAAAAAATTGCATAAAAACTCCACCGTGAACCGCCCCAAACGGCGGCGGCCGGACGGAGGATCCTGTCCCTCCGGATGGACAGGATTAGGGGTGGGATCCGTTCGGTCTGGGTCGGGTTTTTGCTAAACCCGGAAATTACCCGGAAGGTCTCGGGTTATGAAAATTAGGGACCGGAACAAAGCCCATTATATTCAGTCCGAGTCGGGTTTTTGGTAGCCTGGGTTTGGTCCGGGTTCGGGTTGGGCCGGTTAAAGCCCGAACGTGAAATATCTCATTGTTCTTTTATATTTTATCACCTATTTTCAAATAAAATTAATCAAAAATACAAACCACAAATAATAACACAAATATTAGTCTCCAAAATCACCAACAATTCAAATTCAAAAAAGATAATTATCTAAATATTTTATTTAAGATGCATATAAATAAATAATATAAGTTTCTTAAAAATATTGCGAAATAAAATTTATAGATAAAAATGTGACTAGAGTTGCTATAAATATATTGAAAATAATATAAAATGTGACTAGAGTTGCTATAAATAATATAAGTTTCTTAAAAATATTGCGAAATATATTGCGAAATAAAATATTGCTAAACAAATTGAACATATTTGTAGTCACTAAAAGTTACTAGATCATTTTTTTATCCACCGTGATTATAATCATATACGAAGTATTAGGAAATATTTATAAATTTATATTCATATATTATATTAATTTTATAGTAAAACTAATTGTTTCGGGTTTTTATCGGTCCGGGCCGGGTTATAGATTTTAAGGCCCATTAATGAGCCCGGAATTTCGGGTTCGGTCCGATTTTTTTAAATTCGGGCCGGTTAAAAAGAAAAGGTCCGGACCAGGATCATAATTCGGGTCGGTCCAGGATCGGTTTCCGGGTTTCGGTTCGATTTTTCCCATCCCTAGACATGATATTTTCCGTATATATAAATATATATACACTTCCTCCTTTTTTAGTAATAAGAAATAACATCACCATACTACCGTTAAATCCAATAAAGTATTTCTCTGTACTTGACCCATCTGCTCCACAAAATCCGTCGGCCTTACCTTTTCACCCAGCTGCCCACCCATTCTTCCTCGTTCCCAATTAGATCTTCCATCTTCCATTCTACTGTTACGTACTATTTCTTCATCCTTCATTTTTTTAATCCAAAAAATCACCCCATTCACAGAAAATCCAACAAAAAACAATTACGGAGAGCCTAGGCCACGATTACTATCTCCCTAGTCATTTCCTTGTTCCTACGGATGTTAGAGCTCAACCTTGGAGGTCCGCCATTAATGGCCGTCTGAAAGCTTTGTTGTAAATTTATTTAAGATTATAACTAAACTAAATATATAAAGATAGAAAAGTAACCCACTATGATAATCAATTGAGCACTACGTATGTTTGTGTGCAAAAGGAAGAAGATGTTTTAATACTACTTCGTATATACGGAGTATGCATGATAGAAACAACAACTCGATCTACATCGTTAAAATTGAAACAAATGCAAGTATAAATAGGAGACTACTAGGTAGTTAACTAAGCTAGTCACTACTCCACTTCGTAACTACGGAACTACCTACTAATGAAATTACCACTACTCCACTAATACCAATTTTAACTAATTAAATTAATTAAAACTTAAACAATTAAAAACTCCACCCATGCATGCATACGTGTCCCATGACCGATTAAAACCCAACAATCACCCCCTTAATCGGTCAGTCCATACTACCCGCTCACAGTAATGCCGGTTCCTCTTCCATCAAATATGCTTCTTGTTTTCCCCACTTAGGACACTCATTCATATAGTGACCAAGTTCCCCACACTTGTAACATGTAACGTGGCTTTTGTCCCGAACACGTCTATTACCGTCTTGACCCATTCAGATCAAATCAAATCAGACCTTGATTACTTAAAAATGGATGGTATAGATCAAAACTCACAGTCAACAAAAATGTGTAATACATCGCAAAAGTGCATATGCAATATGTAATGTGCACATTCAGCTTCTAAAAAATTATCAGAAACGTTATTTATATTTGTTATGTTTTTAAAGAAAAGTGATGCACTTTTTCGTTAGTTTAATGCACTTTTCCTTACTAGTCATGCACATTTGTCACATTATTTTTCAAATTTTTTTTTTGATAATTACACTTTTGGCACCGAATTTAATTTCTCCCTTAAAAATTGATCTGATCAACTAATTTTTTCATTTTAAAAGGCTAAGATTACTTCTCATTTTTCATATGAGGAGTACTTTTTATATGACCTCCCTCTATATACACATATATATGTATATATAATATATATGTACTTCGTACGTCAAAAAAAATGAATATTTATGAATAGTATTACCAGTAAGCTTTCCCAAGCTTTGCTCCTTGACTTCATAGCAATCACAAAACAGGATATTGCAGCTAGGTGAACATTCTTCTTCTCATTTCCGATTATAGTCTATCATATACAAAACACTTAAATTAAATAGGAGAACCAAAAAGCTCATACGTTTAGTATATCAGTGAATAATTAAAATAGGTTTTGTACCGGAATGCCTTTTTTATCTGAAAGCACCTCATCAAAAATCTGAATTGCTATAAATGGAATGTACGGTTCACACTCCGTCATTAGGTAGCACTGCATGCAATCAAACAATAATATTATAAAGGTGACAACTCCGGTACCTTTCTAAAATATGGGTACCGTACCTACTATTCATTTGATTGGACCACATTACTTAATCATTTTTAATTTAGATTTAAATAATTCAATTGTTACATTCTCATTGGTCCATGTGGACAAAGGTATGGTACCTTATGGGTACCATAGAATCTAGTTCATAAATTTAGAAGCACTTATTGCATACTATCGTATGTGATACGAGCACATGACACTTTTTATACGGAGCATATGGCATTTTTTTAATTATAAAAATTGCACTCGTTAAATATTCAAAACAGTTGATTCCCCATTTCCCTGTAGCCTGCAGGAATTAACAAACATGTCTTTTTTACAACTTCCACCTCTGGATTGTTATCAATCATTAGTATAAAACATATTAATTGAAATAAATATGGTCAGGCATGCATGCATGATTGCAAGTTTTTTAAAATGTCTAAATTAAACAAACACGAAATTTGCTAAGTAGTACTACGGATGTTTTTACTTGGACTGTAATTTGCCCCAGACCAGACCAGACCAGACCAGTCCAGACCAGACCAGACCAGTTCAGACCAGACCAGACCAGACTTGGATAGTTATAAAAATACAAAGAAACCAGACCTTACCAGACCAGACCAGACCAGTTCAGACCAGACCAGATCAGACCAGACCAGACCAGACCAGCAAATTACAGTCCAAGTAAAAACATCCTACGTGCTATCATTATTTTGTTCTAAAAATACGACTCATTACTCCTGTTTTGGAAAGTTTCAATCAATTGTTTCTTTTAATAGCTAGGATTAAATAAGTCCTATTTGATGAATAAAATATATTTAATCATATTTTTAACCTTTAGGTGTGTTTAGTCTTATATTAAGCAAATTCTATTAAACGAATTGGGCAAGATGGCAAGTTACGTTTTATAGTAGACGTCGTAGTAGTATCCCACATTGAATTGTACTCCTTCCCCTTGAAAAGGTTCGTCAAATTTATTTTTCTTAAACAATGACAATCAACTTTTACCATTGATAATTTTTAATACGAAATTATTTTGAACATGAAACTTATATCAATATATGTTCCCTATTCAAAACATTTTCATAAAAGTATAAAATTTGTAAAGTATATACAAATACAATACTCCCTCCGCCCAAAATGTTCTTCTGTAGTACAAATGGCACACAGATTAAGAAAGTGGGAATTGTGTGGTGGAGAATTGTGCAGAGGGGAGAGAAATGTGTAAGAATTGCTGTGAACCACAAATTCTTTGTTAAAAAGGGAAAATAAAGTTCTTTTTGGGACGGACGAAAAGGGAAAGTTGGAAGTTCTTTAGGGACGGAGGGAGTAATTAAAATCATTCTCTTAAGTTTGTAATCGTTGACCAAGAAAAGTCAATATCCTAGAGTACTCTCTGTGTATAGTATAATATATATATATATATATATATATATATATATATATATATATATATATATCCATAAGTTGTGAGGTTAGAATTAAATTGTTACTCTTTTTATGTGGACAAGGGCCAAGAGTCTTTCTTTGTGCCGTTTCTGAATTCTTCTTGCATGTGTTTCCGTGGGCATTTGCAAGCTTCGACGTGCTTCATCTTGTAAGTAGTATCGAAAGCGATCTTTATCTTCAGGAGTCTCCATCTGCGTGTAGAACAGACACAATTAATTAGTGAAAGTGTAAGAGACCAAGGGAGTAATTACTATATAGTAATTAGCTAATTAGTGACTTTCAATCTACAAAAATGTGTGTATGCATGTTTATTTTGGACAATCCAAAATGGGAGAGAGGATCAGAGTATGTAATATGAGGAGCAGATTTAAGTATGTGGTTTAATTTGTAGATGAAGGTACACATTGTACAAATAAAATATAGAGCATATTTTCAATAGAACTAAATAAATTTTCCCCAGGAGCGGGCATTCCCGGACTGATAACGGGACCGGGCCGTGCTAACCGGCCGGGTACACCCCTAAACCACAGTAATAAAGCAATAATCTTGGATACCGATGAGGTTTACTCCATATTCCATCACAGAAACGGATCGGAGAACTCCAAAAGGCAAAAGAGCTATATATTTATTAAAACTACATTTTCTTCAAAATTGCCCCTTTAATATGATGTTCCGAGTTTAGCAAACTTTCCATATCAAATACTATCGTATTCAAATAAAAACTTCATCTAAAGAAACTATGCATGTCTCATAAGAAGGGCCACCAAAAAATACTCCGTACTTGGTATCAAACAGTATGAACAACGTAACTCCCAAAACTATCAAGCAAAGAGAACGTACACAGATAGCCACCAACAAAAGCATTTAAAAATGACTATGAAAAACATACTACTCCGAAAAGCATTTAGCAGTTCTAACTCAAAAAGCATTTAGCAATACTAAATCATTATTCACCAAAAGCATTCCAAAAAGCATTTAGCAGTACTAACCCATAAAGCGATAAGTATATAAATAATCAATAATATAGTTATCATCAACAATTTTATCCTTCTATGGAGTAATGGGACTATATATGGTGGTGAATGGCTGATTGGATAAAATGCAACATAGAAGATATTCACCCAATAATGCAAGATGAATGTCGGGGATTGAAACTGCCAATCCCCTTAAACTCTATTTTCATTATTCAACCCTTCCGCCTAAGCTTTCTATCCTCTACTCGAGCAATGAAACGAAGCCAATCAAGCAATGAGTGAATCAGGGAAGATATTCGAGCAATACTTTTTATGGTTGATAAAAAAAATAATTAAACTAAACTAAAAAATACTCCATAGTTTACATAATACATATCCTTACTAATTAAGTAATTAGTTATTTTTTCAAATATGGGGCCCTCCTAAACTTGGAGGCCCAAGCCGCAGAGGCGGAAGCAGAAGTAATTTTGAGGGGGCTAAATATATGTAGAAAATTAACACTTAAATTGTAGTAAAAGCGTGAAAAATAATACAGGTATATGTTGATAAGATTATAAAATTGTATCATTTCCAATACAAATTCATATCTAACAAACATATTACATATTCATTATTGTACTATCAATTCCATTTCAGTTTATTCATTATTAATAAACATATTAATTAATTAACTAAATCTATAGAGTCATCATATACTCATTTGTCATACAGAAGTTCCATATACCTAATAACAATATAGAAGTTAGCAGGCTATTTGAAAATATATTACAAAAATATTTAGAGTGTATCTAGTGACTGAGAAATTGGCTGTTGAAATTTGTAAAATTTTGGCTGAAGGAGCTAAATTAAACTACTTGAACTTGCTCAATTAAAAAAAAAATTATATTTAAAGTATATTTAATTTAATAATAAATTAAAGAGAATATTATTTAAAAATGAGAGAGAAATAGTGTTTCTCAACAAATGCATCCAATTCAAATAAAAAATTTACTATAATCCTACTTGTTTTGATTATTACACAAATGAGCATATAAAATAAAAAAGTATGTATTTAATAATAAAAATGACTAATAAGACTAATAATAAATTGAAGTACCAAACTGGCTATTAGACGAATACCAACCATTACATATTTATTACAAAGAAGCAATTAACTAAAAAAATTACAATTGATAAAGTGAATGAGATTTGAAATAGATAGAAGTCAACTAGTCAAGACTCAAGAGGCCAAGTAAACGCTACACCCATAACTCCATAAGTGCCCTAACGGCTTAAGCCCAATTGGGGAAATTTGAAGTTATAAGTTTTTTTACTCCGTATGGTATATGTTTCGTCACTTGGGTGAAATTATTTACTTCAAATTAGCAAGTATATGTTGTACTTGTATCATATACTTGGATAATAGAACTACTCTCAATATCCACAAACATTAGTATATATTCTATCTGACAACATCTTAGAGCAAGACACTTATTCATTTGTGCTTTGTATACAATGAAATTGAATAGGAACTACCTTTTGTTTGTTCTAGCTCTGAATGATCCAAAATAAGTTAGTTTTTAACAATCTAAAATATAAACTATTACTCCCTATTATTTTAGTACTCCGTATGATTTTAAGAGAACATAACTAAAAATTTTGGAGATATCCCCGTACACAGTATATATGGAGAGATCTCAACATAAAAATTTTTAGATAAATATTTTAGGCATCTCTTAGCCCAATCATGTTGATCTCTAGCTTTCTTTCAATGTCATTTTATTAAAAAAATTGGTGTGGTTGGTGCCTGTGTTACTAGAACCAGACCGGCCCGGGTGGTCCGACCCGGAAACCAGCGACCCGGCCCAGAGACCGGTCCGATTGAGTGCAAACCCGTTACTTGGTCTAAAATCGGAAACAACCGGTGGCCCGTCCGAACCCGGGACGGGCCTGGACCGGTGATAAACCGGGAAACCTGGAATATTAACCCAAACCCGGAAATACTTGAGCAAAATTCAAAGGCATGGGAGGGAATCAAACCCTGGACATGCGGGTTGACCAAGAAACTGTTCTGTTCGTCCTATTCTGATTACTTATTACTTATTCTTATTTTTTTAGATCAGACCAAAAAAATTCAGATCAGCTCAGATCAGAAAGATTCAGATCAAATCCGATTAGATCAGAAACATTCAGATTAGATCAGAAAGTTTCAGATCAGAAAGATTCAGATCAGATCAGACCAGATCAGATCAGACCAGATCAGAAACATTCGGATCAGATTAGAAAAGTTCAAACATAATTTATCACTATTATTATTATATTATTTATAATAATTATTATAATTATTTCATTATAATTAATAACAATAATAATATATTAATAATAAAATTATTATTATTTTAATATAATTATATAATAATAATAATAATAATAATAATAATAATAATAATAATAAATATTATAATAATAATATAATAATATGATAATAATATAATAATAGACGTAGTAATATTAATACTAATATATATATAATATTATTGTTAGTATTATTATTTATTATTCTGATATTATATTATTATAATTATAACTATAATTATAATTATAATTATTATTATTACTATTATTATTATTAATATTATTATTGTGGTTATTGTATTTATTATTATCATACGGAGTGATTATAATTATAATTATAGAAATAAATATAATAATTATGCTTACAATTATAATTATATAAGTAGTTATATTATTAATTATGATTATATAATTAAAAATATAATTACAATTATAATTGTATCTATAGTTATAATTAGTGTAATAGGTATAATTATTATAATTTTGAATTTAAGTTTAATTATTATTATACTACGTATTTTTATAATTATGGGTATAATTATACTTGTATTTAAATCACATTTGTAATTAAAATTATATTTATAATAATTATAATTATAATTATAGATATATTTAAATCAAATCAGATCAGAAAGATTCAGATCAGATCAGAAAGATTTAGATCAGATCAGATCGGATAAGAAAGATTCAGATTAGATCAGATCAGATCAGAAAGATTCAGATCAGATCATATTAGAAAAATTCAGATCAGATCAGATTAAAACTTAAAAAGTTTAGATCAGAAACATTCAGATCAGAACAACTTTCAAGCAAACACCAAGCTACCAACTGGACTGTTTCTTTGTGGTTGTAAGAGCTCCTTTTTTCTACTTATACTATACCCACTTAGCATTTTGAACTAACACTACAACCATAGATTATTACTCCGTAATTAATACGGAGTAATAAGAATAGCTAGACTAACACTACAATTATAGATTATTAATTAATACTCCGTAATAGCTATTCATTGCTATTGGTAACTATTATTATACGGAGTATTAAGCAAAACACTTTATGTATACGAATCATACTGTTAATTTTTTATATAAATATTAGATTTAGATATTATTCATTTTGAAAACACTTTATGTATTCGTACATTGCTTTTTCAAATATTATAACCGTTACTCCATTAATTTTGACCCGGCGTTGACCCGTCTGAGGGTCGGTTTGACTCTTGACCCGAGTCACGTCCGCATCCGATTTTGACAACACAGGTTGGTGCGGATCATTTTGACTCACCATTTCTAATTTTCTATAGTTTGATACTTTGATGTGTGTTAAAAGGGTCTCCCCAGCTACAAAATGCAATTTAAAACTTATGAAAGACAAAAAGAATACTTTGCTTATGAATTAAGATAGACTCATGCACCCTAGAGGCCAGACCGTTGAGCTGCGGTGGAGACCGGCGGGGCAAGCAGTGACGTAATGGCGGTGGCAGAGCTCGAACTCGTTGTTGTTCCGCGTCGATCTCAACTTCGTCTCTGGCCGCTGGCTTGCTTCGTCGCTTCAGATTTGGCAGGAGCTCCGTGACTACGACGGACACAAACTGGAGCGGTGAGGGAAGTAGGAAGAACCGAAGAACGACGAACACCAGTTGGGCAGCGACGCAAATGTAAATCGCAGTTCTTGCGTTTTTTATTTTTTTTTGGATGAAAAACAGTTCTTGCTTTTTTGAGTTTTTGCTGAACGTTATTTGGTGATTGTGAAATTATGATGGTTATTTAGCTTGATTTGAGATAAAAGTGGCTAGGTATCTGACAACTTTCAATGCTACTCCGTAGTTGTTCTCTTTTACGGTTTACTCTGTATCTACTCCTTATTACACATAAGTTAGAAACCAGGTGATGATGAATCGAGCTGTGTAAAAAAACAAAAAAAAAAAAAAAAAAAAAAAAAGAGAGAGAATAGGGGCAATAATAAGTTAATACTCCTTATTAAGGCCCTTTTTTTTTAATGGAGCTGTGTAGCATAGGGGCAATAGGGCCTCGAACATCGGTACAACATAAGGAAAGGGACTATACCAGAACTGAAGTGGATATAATTAAATACCGATGGTTATTCAACAGGTGATGGACTATTTGTTCTGGGAGGGGTTGTCAGGAATCTGGATGACTTTTTTTTTTTTTTTTTGGATAAAAAAAGGATGACACCCCATCCCTGAGGGCCCCCAACACCGACCGGACGGCACGATGGGAGGATGTAAATTGGACTATAATCACAATCTGACAGATAGAGAGTGGGGCTCTGTCCCCGGTACTTACAGAGGCCCTATGCATTTTTCAGCATAGTAACCCCTCATCGTAGTTGCCGGGATTCGAACCCGAGACCTAACCCTTGTGGCACTCCCTTGCTACCAGTTGAGCTACGCCCACCGGTTAACGGTAGTTTCGTTTCGAAGGGAGAAGATATAAATTTACGTAAAATTGAATTTTTTAATCTTAATAATCTAGTTTAATAATGTTATTATTTTCCAAATATTAATAACAAGAATTTATGTGTTTATATCGTTGATAATATACAAACAATAACATCAACAATAATAAATAACAGTAAAAATAACCATCTATCTTTTTTTGTTTATTGTTTGGCCTGCATCTACCCTAAAAGGCAACAGTAAAAATGTCAGACGAAGTAAAATTTATGGATGACTTTTTTTTTTGTTTATTGTTTGGCCTGCATCTACCCTAAAATTTCGTTTACCTTCGAAAGTAGTCCTACTTCTCTGATCACCATAACTCGCCGGAAAATTACTTTTCGGACACAAACGCGATGGCTACTTGGCTAGTACCTTTTGTAAGCAGTTTTGAGCTGGTGGGGCTGTTACTAGGGTGAACGGATTGGGACTGCAAGGGATGAAATTGACGTCCACGGATTGGAATGTAGGCAATATTTTCTTTTCCAGCTGATTCTTATCGAGTTCTCTCCCACTGTGGCCGCCTAGGTGTTGCCGGAGCTAGGCGGGGTGGCGGTGGTTACAGATACCACATGCGTATCATGGTTTGGGTTTCTGGAATTTGGCCACTGTGGACTCGCCGGAGGTACGCCGGAGAAGGCGACGGGTCTTCAACGACGTAGTAGTTGACGCGTCAATGGCTGCATCCGAGTGGACACCCTGTCACTTCGTCTGACATGTTTACTGTTGCCTTTTTTACTTCAGAAATTGTTCTAAATAGGAGTAAAAACGTTTTGAAATTCTAAAATAGAAGTATCATGTTTTTTATTCCTAGAATAAGAGTAAATTTCTGCCAAGTTTGGCATTACAAGGCTTTTAAACATGACATTTTCTTCCAAATTTGGCAGATTACTCCTATTCAAGGAATAAAAAACATGATACTCCTATTTTGGAATTTCAAAACGTTTTTACTCCTATTTAGGGAATTCTCTCTTTTTACTTTCGGCCTTCCCGCCCAACGGATGCCGCGCTCAGCGCTTAGAGATGCCAAGATGCTGGGCTAGCGTTTGGGCTTGACCAGGAAGGATGCCGTAACCCTAAAGCCCTGGAAGGCTTGAAGCTGCTCGCGTGTCTTGCTGAAGTGGGCGTTTGTGCTGCGGTTTGATTCGGGCCTGACCGCTGGGACTAAAACGGAATTCTTTGAATGGATTGGGCCTGACCCCGGTTCAGTTTCTGTTTTTTTGGATAAAATGTAAATATATATATCCAGAAAATAGCATAATACAATGCATCAAAACTATCAAGCTAGCTATACTAACTACAATAGTATCTAACCATTCAACCTCCACCCATCCCCTGAGAGGTAGGCGGGAGAGAGAATTTTATGGTGCAATCCAAAACGGCGCAGGACAAACCCCGGCTCGTATCACAAAAAATCAAGTAACCAAGATGGACCAACCCATGAAGGAGCAGCCTGTTAACAAGTCAAAAGCCTCTCATAGGGCATAGGTAACCAAGTCGGACTGGCTGAGAAGAACCAGCCTGGTAACGAGTCAAACCCTCTCGTAGGGGGCTGGCCATGGACCAATAAAGGCCCAAATCCAGCAAAGCCAGCAGCAGCACTCCACGAAGCCCAGCTTCCACAGCCCAAATATCTTCAAACAGTTGTCCAAGCTTCAGGACCAATTAAAGTCCGTCAACTGGCCTGCATAAATCCCCAGCGCATCAGCAACTTCCCGCATCGGCCCAGGATCAAGCAAACGCAGCCCACCCAACCAATTACCCTAGAGAACAGGCTGGAGGCCACGTGAGGGACAAGATGTGACCAGCTGTCACGTCGCCCAAATCAAACGCCAGCCCAACCGCCGACGACTCAATCGGCCAACCACCGATGCATCCAGTCCCTCGTATCACCGTCAACCAAAGTTCCATCGGAAAAAGAACTTCCCCCCACCCCCACTGAGATCCGGCATCACCTCGGCGGCAACGGCGGAGGGAAAAAACAGAACCAGTCGGAGAAAAACGAACCAAAGTCAAACTTCAGTAGTCGGACAGGCCGACGAAGCCCCGGAAGAAGGCGTCCACAATCTAAGTAGTCCAGCCATTAGGAAACAGCCCTAAAACAAACCAAATGTTAGGGATAACCTCAGCAAGGAACCAGAGAAAGAAAAGTTGGGTCTAAAATCCATAATTGTGAACACCGGAGTATTCATAAGTTTGGACACCAAGCTTCCGGCCAACGGTGTCTACAACTCCAACCTCAAAACCTTGGCCAAGCAGAGAGACTGTACCGCATAGCGAAAAATGGAGGCGCCATTATACCTGCACTGGGAACCCCTCACCCTGTGCTGCCACAAAAGCCGGCCCCCACCCAAAGAAAGAAGAAAAACCTACCGGAGGACATGGCAGCTCCGAACTCCGGTAGGTCCCGAAGCAATCTTAGGCAAACTTGAAGGTGACCACTGACGTGCCCTCCACCAGTGCATCAACCCACCTGGATACCTCAACCACCACCGGCGCCGTATCCAAGGATGGAGAAGCTGCGACGCCGGAGACCTTCGTCCAGGTTGTAGAAAGAAACGGGAAAGCATGTGGGCGTACCTCGTTGGCCTTCAGATGGTTAGCGAACCAGCACAACCTAGACCTCATGCTTATCTTCTCCGACCAGCTGTGTAACCCCCTAGATCTGCTCCGACCAAAGCCTACGACCAGCAGTTGGACCACCTTGACCATGGACAGCCCTCAAAAATCCATCACAACCCACGAACTACGAACCACCGACGAACTATTTTCCAAAAATTCATAAGACCAAACAACCTTGAGCCCACCGGAGCCAGGAGGGCTCCGGCGGCGACCGCCTCGACTGGCGGCGCCGGAAGTAGTTAGGACTGAGCAAAACCCGATCCGACCCGAAAAACTCGATATTTTTTTCTGATATTATCCGAACCGAAGTGTATATCCGACCCGAAAAACTCGAAACCGAAAATCCGATTAGTATTGGGCCTAGACCGGGTGGCGGGTAGGGTTTGTGAAATCCCAACCCGACCCGCCCGAATATCCGAAATATATGTTAGTGTGTACTTTGAATATTTAAATTAATACTTGTGTTCAATTATTTGTATAATTATTTGTGCAATATAATTTTAAATTATTTGTGTAAATTGAATGTGTAGTGAACTAGTGTGTACAATTTTTTTTAAAGTGACATTCCAACACTTTAACTATCCAATTATAATGTGTTTTGATATAAACAAAATATCCGAAATATATTAAATTATGTAGTGTGTACTTTGAATATGTTAAATTAATACTTGTGCTCAATTATTTGTGTAATTATTTGTGCAATTTGTGTTAAATTATTTGTGCAATTGGGAAGTTTAGTGCACTAGTGTGTTCAATTTTTGTCAAAGTGGCATTTAAACACTTTAATTATCCCATTATAATTTTTTTAATATAACCGAAATATCCGAAAACCGACCCGATATCCGATAATATCCGACTTAAAAATATCCGAAATACCCGATTTGAAATATCAAAGGGTCGGGCCTAATATTTAAATTAAAAAACCCGAACGGGTTTAGGGTTCGCAAACCCGACCCGCCCGAACCCGACCCGTGCACACCCCTAGAAGTAGTAGAGCACCTAGAAGTTTTCTAGTGAGAGAAACCGCTCTCAACTCTCACTCCCCGGTTCAGTTTCTAGATAAAATAGATAGAAGCTTTTGAAAATATAAATTTTAGTATTGATTCGGTTCTTATAAAATTTTCTATAGAACTGATATGCAATCGAATCATCCTTAACAGTTCAGTTCTTGTCATTTAACGATTACTAATTTATAAAAAAAACATAAAAATCACTGTAAAAATTGTATCAGAAAACATTCAACGACTTCACTAGTTTTTCCCACTTTAGATCCCCCGTGTATTGTGTCAGTGACACTTAGTACACGACTTTTAATTTTTTCATTTTTAGTCCTCGACTATTGTGCTTTTCCATCATTTGCAATGGAGCCAAAGATTCATTATTTTTTGGCTTGAGAATATGATGGAATAAAGCAAAATGGCTCACCAAACTGTTTGCGCTTCTTTGTTATGAAGCAGCAGTCAGTCAATGCAATTTTTGGACGCGATTTTCATTATGGGTCATACGGAAACAGTCTCTCTGCGCTTTAGTACAGGGGTAAGACTGCGTACATCCGACCCCCCCTTACCCCACCATAGGTGGGAGCCTTTGCGGCACTGGGGTAAATGATGATTGAAATGATGATTGAGTCCTCGACTATTGTGCGAGAGACACTTTTAGTTCTCAATTTTCAAGTTTCCCACATTTAGTCCTTTGAGTATTGTCAAATTGACATTTTTAGTCTTTCTACTATGATTTTGACACAATAAGTTGAAGACTAAAAATGTCTCCGTTG